TTGTGAAAGATTGGTATTTTTGTACTGATTTGTAGGAATCTGAAAAACGCGTTTCACAACTTGTTTCTTTATTTAGTTTTATGCGTCATTCAAGATGGCGCCCCCCATATAGTAAATATCGCATTTATTTTATTATATCAGATGTGCGCCAGCTGACTGTGTCCGTACCATATATTACAGAGCATTATAAACCAAAAATTGTACAGTTTGATTAATGTTAACCCAGTTAAACTCAATGAAAACACAACCCTTATATTTAGTTGCAATTTAATTGGCTTCAATAAAATTATAGTTTAATTACGTTTCTATATATAATTGCAATTTAATTAAAAATAATAAATTGTCTGGACTGGAAATTGTATTTCACGAAATTTGTCCATTACTTTAGGTTACATAACAACACCGAAACTGGTATGTATTTAAAAGTTCCATAGAATCACTTGTTCAAAAGGGACCCCAAATATAATCACAAGTGACATTTGTTGTTTAACAACATTCAATGACTATACTGATTAAAAGAAACATACTGTAATAAACAATGTTTTATTTGTTATGAAATTTAATTAAATTCACCAGACAGATGATAGAATGTCAACATGATTGGGAATTGTGGGTCTCCAGTGTTAGGGGTTAGGACGTATATCGGCACAATGTAAATAAGTATTGGTTGGACTGTTAACGGGAACGATAACACACTTAATTCTTATGATTGGCATTTTCTCAAAGAAAAACTGGTAGTACCCGAACTAGTTTTTGAACTATGAATCTCGATTATATGCATTACCCATGGTTACCAAAGAACGTTTCAATGCTATAGGGAAATCGTTTTTTTCCATGGCAACACATTTCTGTTATCGTTTAGTGATATTAGTTCATTTTGAGCACCATGATAAAACCTTTAAATCACCAAAATATCAATGATTGTTAGTGCTATTACAATTTCCATACTTTTTACTAGTTAGCCTCTACAAAATTGTTTTAATACTGTTTTTTTGTTGAATACATTGTGATTTATTCTGAACCGCAATACTTAAGTACACAGCTGATCAATAAAACATTCTCTACACGCATGCGCATTGACCATGTGTATACTAGTAAGTGTTTTTCTTTTTTCATCAAACGAATATTATACAGTGTGCTACAAAACAACAATATGTTTTTACATTGCATCTTTAAAGCCGGGGAGTCGTCAGATGCGCATGCGTCTGATGGCCACAGCGTGTCATTGTTTACAAACAAGCGTCTACCCATGAGCCTTTGCGTTTTTAGCGTGTGTTGTTATCGTCGCTTGGGACTCAATTCCCGCGCGTGCACAGGCGACGACCCTCCCGCTTTCACAACCCGCTAGGTAAAACAATATTCCATCAATATTCAAAGGAAATTTCAGATAATGTTATGAAAATATTCGAGAACCGTAAATTTCCATCCTGATAGAACGTGTGACGCTGACGACAATATCCACGTGATAGGTATCCATGGCGCCATGGGCTGTTTCCGAACAGTTTGCGGAAAATCGCATTATTTTTTAATTGGCACATTCTGTGAACGGATTAACTGGTGGCCCCAGTACGCTACTTTCATTTCGTAACGCCGCCATATTGGTGACCATTTTATATCCTAGAAAATTCATCGAAGCTTGACATTTTTCCTGAATTTTCAAAATCTGCTCGAAAGGAAGCTCTTCTCGCCATTTTGTAGCAACTAGACTGGAAACACGTGTAACCCCATTTGGGTAGTTTCCCGTGCTCTGTGTATTTTGTTGGATCCAAGCTTCTATATTCTGCGGCATAGACATGTCAAGAAAGTTGTAAATTTCCCTAGCTCTAGCCAATGGCTGATGTGCTACATCCTCATATCGTATCAATAAATATCGGTTTTTCAACCACTCAGGACACGTTTGAGCATATCTGACGTTGGAGGCGTAAGTCCTACATAAGTCTTCTGTCTCGTCCCACGACGCGTTCTTTCTCATATAATCTAAATTTTTTCCATGTAATTTCCATCTAGAGTGCATGACTCCGCGAGGGTCCCGGACGAGGATTATAATTTTTAGATCTATATTCGATTCTGTCACAAGAACCTCGAGTTCTTTCAAATCATATAACCGTATCGTTTTTATTGCGCGGTATTTGTGTTTTTTGCATTGCTTGGCGACAGACACGACGAACAGGTCGTCGTTATTTTGGTTAGGTTGTACGTTTTTTTCATTAAAAGGAAAACGGTGGTGCAATCTGCATGTTGACCTAAGAGCTAAACTTCTGCACATTCTGTCGTCGCGAAGTGTTGGCGCCATAATCTGATCCGACAGTTCACACTTGAATAAGTTTCCAACAACCTCGATAGCCCAAGACTCGAACAAATCATTGGCAGAATCGCCACCTAATACGTCAAACGATAGCGACCTCAGCGGCTCAAATAGGTACATAGTCTCTGGATTTTGGTTCAGGAGCTCGCCGACAAATGAAGAACCGCTGCGTTTTGTTGCAAATAATAGAACAGCTTTGCTTGACATTTGTTTGTCTACCTTTGGTATAGCCGGGTTCCGGTCGATGTTGTCCATGGTAAAGCTTGTCATCCCTTCGCGTTCATCCATCTCTTCATTAAAATCGTTTCCTTGATAATGTGCGTCTTCCAAATACATGTATTCTGAAAGTGAACAGTGCAGATGAGATCATATATTGCAAAAGTGTAATGCGCTTCGAATTACTGGTACGTACCAGTAATTCAAAGTTCATGCGCATTATTGTGATTCATTATTCAGTCATGAATAATGTCGTGTGTGCTGCAAAACAATTAAAATAGTTTATTTATAATAAATATTAATTAACATCAGAATAAACCCTGCATTATAAAACCTATATTATTGACCATGACGTCATAGTGTCGAGACGCTACCAATTTCTGTCCCTGACGTAGGATGATGTCGAGAAGCTTCCCGTGACGCCAGTCAGACAATAATAGCCAAAAAATACACGTATCAATGCAACGATTCAATCGACGAGTTATTTTTACAATACGTAATTGTGTAGATATTCAAATTCAGGCAAAGTAACGTTTTTCCGTAGTGTACATACTTCTGTGTAGTGTATGTAAAAAAGACGGTGACCTGCAATGGCTCCTACTGCATGGCGGCTACCCCACGGTGGCGTTTTGCTCAAGCCCAAATTACGTAAAACAGATGCATGACTCTTTCGTCATGAAACCGATGACCTAGCTCACATTTTCATCAAGGTCCAAAGATTGACACCACTTTTCAACCTTTTTAAAGTAATCATCCACAGACTACTTGACATTGATAGTGTACTTACTCCTGTATAGTTTGCGCACCCCTACGTAGTGTACGTATTCCTGTGTAGTGTACGTATTCATGTGTACTGTACGTATTCGTGTGTAGTATACGTATTCCTGTGTAGTGTACGTATTCCTGTGTAGTGTACGTATTCATGTGTAGTGTACGTATTCCTGTGTAGTGTACGTATTCATGTGTACTGTACGTATTCGTGTGTAGTATACGTATTCCTGTGTAGTGTACGTATTCCTGTGTAGTATACGTATTCATGTGTAGTGTACGTATTCATGTGTAGTGTACGTATTCGTGTGTAGTATACGTATTCCTGTGTAGTGTACGTATTCCTGTGTAGTATACGTATTCCTGTGTAGTGTACGTATTCCTGTGTAGTATACGTACTCCTATGTAGTGTACGTATTCCTGTGTAGTGTACGTATTCCTGTGTATTGTACGTACTCCTGCGTAGTGTACGTATTCCCGTGTAGTGTACATACTCCAGTGTAGTGTACGTACTCTTGTATAGTGTACGTATTCCTGTGCAGTGTACGTATTCCTATGTAGTGTGCGCACCTCTGTGTAGTGTACGTATTCCTGTGCAGTGTACGCATTCCTGTGTAGTGTACGTATTCCTGTGTAGTATACGTACTCCTATGTAGTGTACATATTCCTGTGTAGTATACGTACTCCTATGTAGTGTACGTATTCCTGTGTAGTATATGTATTCCTGTGTAGTGTACGTATTCATGTGTAGTGTACGTATTTCTGTGTAGTGTACATATTCGTGTGTAGCGTACGTATTCATGTGTAGTGTACGTAACCCTGTGTAGTGTACGTATTCATGTGTAGTGTACGTATTTCTGTGTAGTGTACGTATTCCTGTGTAGTGTGTGCACCTCTGTGTACTGTACGTCTTCCTGTGTAGTGTACGTATTCCTGTGTAGTGTACGTATTCCTGTGTAGTGTACGTATTCCTGTGTAATATACGTATTCCTGTGTAGTGTACGTATTCATATGCAGTGTACGTATTTCTGTTTAGTGTACGTATTCCTGTGTAGTGTACGTATTCATGTGTAGTGTACGTATTCATGTGTAGTATACGTACTCCTATGTAGTGTACGTATTCCTGTGTAGTGTACGTATTCCTGTGTAGTGTACGTATTGATGTGTAGTGTACGTATTCATGTGTAGTGTACGTATTCCTGTGTAGTGCACGTATTCCTGTGTAGTGTACGTATTCCTGTGTAGTATATGTACTCCTGTGTAGTATACGTATTCCTGTGTAGTATACGTACTCTTGTATAGTGTACGTATTCCTGTGTAGTGTACGTATACATGTGTAGTGTACGTATTCTTGGGTAGTGTACGTATTCATGTATAGTGTACGTATTCCTGTGTAGTGTACGTATTTCTGTGTAGTGTACGTATTCCTGTGTAGTGTACGTATTCATGTGTAGTGTACATACTGGTACATAATATTAGAGAATTAACCCCGGTAAGATGTATTCACCTACTAGTATCTGTGTACTAAGTATGTCTCTATTGTGTCATTTGAGATAACGTGTGTATATTTTCATGTTGTTATATTGGATTAGTAATGTCTTATATAGTAATTCCCGAGGTTGGTCGAAAAAACCTGTCATGTTCTTGTTGGCTATTTCCGAATAATGAGAAGTCGCACTCAATTGTTTTTTACGTACATGCTCCGTGAGTTCAATCACATGTGTTGTACACGACATAAGATACACCTTTTCTATAAATCGCGCCCTCTGACGCGAGTGACGTTAATAGAAGGGAATTTTATTTTTGTTATTCGTGTGTAGTGAATTTTATTTTTGTTACGTCGATTGGTACACTCAGAAGCACAATGTCACGCGTGCAAGTTTACGTTAAACCCCGAAACGGCAAAATGGTCTATGGCATATAACAGTACGTCATTTCGGCGCAGCGAAAGCGTCCCACCACCAGAGGGCGCGATTAATACGAATGGAGTATTGAAACCTCATCGTGGTTTGGAATTGACAGTTTTGCTGTGGAAATATTATGTTGTAGCCTAGACTAAACTCGCTGAAATTTCATTGTTGTTATGCCCCCCCCCCCAGTTTGCCAGTTAGTTATTCGTATATATCTTATACGTTTGGCCAAACAATCGTCATTCTGATCACATGGCTACGTGTCGTGAGATTGGATTTCGAGATTAGATATAATAATTATTTAAATTAAAATTGGAGAAGTTTATGACGATTTCAATTTGTCTATTTCAATGATAAATTTAGTTTATTTATCTTGAATTTTATTTACCTTGAATCGCGTGACCGTGTAAGTTATTGTTGATTTGCAAATGTGAAACGAATATACCAATAAATGTAATATTCACACGAGGTAATACAAATATTACGCACATATGAATGAGCCTTGAGTTTTTTTAGTCCACTATGTAATACCTTTGTTATATTATTGTTAGGACGCACATGTTGCACACACATGTAAATAACACATATACCGGTCACCTGGAAGATTAGATTTCTGTTCTTGCGAAAATTCACGTTTCTGGCATAAGGATATGATAAGTATATACCATTTACCATAAATCAGTGCGTTTTTACTCATCTGGTGCGTCAATATGCATTTAATCAAAGTTTGATATGAATATGAGCAAATGCGATATGCAAAAACACGCAGCACATACAGCTGCGTGTTTTGAGCCTAAATATATGATATATGCTACTATGTATTATGTATGTTTATTAACATTGCACAGTTTGTATATGAATTGATGTTATTTACTTATTTGTTATTTATGTTATGACAGTATCAATTTTTTTATTTTGTGCAATATTTCTTTCTTTAAGCTTCATGTAAATATGTAAATTTGCAATGTAAATTGCTTTTAACTGCGTAATAAAAAACAGAAATGATATATGCTTCTTTGCCCACCGTGTAAGCCCATACAGATTGAATACTATAATTATAATATGTGCGCGGACTTAACTCATGGCGAATGTATTGTATATTGGTCATTATATTGAAATATAATTTGCCTTTGACCTGGCCGATGTATTGACTGAGTCTATGTATACGGAGCCTGTGCATTTAATAACTAACAACTATTAATCTGTGCACAGTCCCCCAATCCCACTGTGATCTGTGATATCAAATCGATTTATGTTGGTTGTCGAGTTGCCACATATGTGTATACATAATGACACTGCGATTAATAACGTCATAAAGGATAGATAAACTTACCATGCTGCTCGCCTAGGAATAACCACGTATACATCAATAGTCCAACTGAACAGACGCCGAGAACAGACAGGGCCGCCATTCGATTCATGATACGGCTCTGTCGTTTCGCCGACCGGGCAGTGTAGTCCGTCATGGGAGCCTAGTAACGTATAAGGAGATCGAATATATTTACGATTTGTTTTCTCCGTCACATATCTATATTAATCCAACATGGTGACAGGTGGCGACCTCGCTACTCGACTCAGTGGCGATATTGCACTGTGGCAAGCCACGTGCGTGACATATTGTTACAGTATTGGTCGTAGAACGTGTGTCTATTACGACTGTTCGGTTTTAAAGAGGCGATCGACATGTTTGGAGCAATAATAAACAAACTATAGAAATAAATGATTATCAGGAGTGTGTAGGACACTCCTCAAATGACGGATATGAATGATTTGAGAAATAAATATAGTCGAGGAAAAGCTGGTATCTCATGATGCATCTGTTTGCAATTGATGACGTATTATAATTGCATGCACGAATACTAACACGTTTCAATACTATATAACGAACATTGTTTTGTCTATTTTTGAGAGATTAATGTCGTCACGAACTTAAAACAATAAATGGTATCATACATCTGTACACGATATTGGAAAATATTGCTCTAGCTAGTATTCCTCTCAGTATAAGTACATCTCGACTCAGTGTCAGCTGGTGGTAATATAATAATGCGACAATTTTATGCGATATTTACTGTATGGAAGCAGTAGTCGTGAAAACACAAATTACATGAAGCGCCAATTCCTCCCTTTTTAGACAATTCTCATACTCCTCTGCAAAACGACACGTTTGGGGCAACTATCAGGGGGAAATTCTTCTTGTACTCTCGGGTTCGCCACACTGTCAGGGGGGAAACTCGTCTCGTCTCTCTATCTCGTCCCCTTGAGGTATGGGATCGGAAATGTCACTTATACTTTACAGTCAAATAAGACACACACAACGAAATACGTTTCAACTCTCGTCTTAGTCGGTCAATCGAGCACTTTATAAGACACAGCGCCCTGGGGAAAAAGTCCCCAAGACTATCTCAAGGCTGACCCAAGACTCTTTTAGACTGCGTCAACACTCGCCCCAAGGCTCTCCAGGACTGGCCTACGACTGCGTCAAGGCTCGCCCCAAGGCTCTCCAGGACTGCTCTCGACTCTCCAGGACTGTTCTCTCGACTTTCGACTGCGTCTATTGTAGAGTACTCCTCAAGACCAACTCAAACTCTCTTTATTCATTTTCAAAACTCTAACCAATTACAAAACAGTAAAAAGACTCTAGGGCGTAACCTTCAATCATAAAGCCAATCACACTAAGCACTGAATACGTCACATCTTTTGATTAATCGTTCACTACATTAATAACTATGGATACCAACTGTCAGAATAGTATCAGGGGGAAAATACTTCTCTCGAGGTTCTCCACACTTGTCAGGGGGGAAACTCGTCTCGTCTCTCTATCTCGTCCCCTTGAGGTACGGGATCGTGAAAGTCACTTTAACTTTACAGTCAAATAAGACACACACAACGAAATACGTTTCAGCTCTCGTCTTAGTCGGTCAATCGAGCACTCTACCAGACACAGCGCCTTGGGGAAAAGTCCCCAAGACTCTCACAAGGCTGAACCAAGACTCGCCCAAGACTGGACTGCGTCAAGGCTCGCCCCAAGACTGGACTCTCGACTACGTCTATCGTGGAGTATTCGCCAAGACCAACTCAAACTCTCTTTATTCATTTTCAAAACTCTAACCAATTACAAAACAGTAAAAAGACTCTAGGGCGTAACCTTCAATTATAAAGCCAATCACACTAAGTACTGAATACGTCATATCTTTTGATTAATCGTTCACTACATTAATAACTATGGAATACCAACTGTCAGAATCGCGACGGATATCTGGTAATTAGTTCCAAATCACTGAGCCAAGTTCCGTCCAAAACTTCAAATAGGCCTACACGATGACAGACATAACACAGCAATTCGCTAATAATCAGTTAATTAAGTCGGTTAACAAATACGCAAAAACAAATTCATGACAATAGCGACGGATATCTGGTAATTAGTTCCAAATCACTGAGCCAAGTTCCGTCCAAAACTTCAAATAGGCCTACACGATGACAGACATAACACAGCAATTCAGCTAATAATCAGTTAATTAAGTCGGTCAACAGATACGCAAAACCAATTCATGACACAACCTACAACATTGTGATCTACTCTGTTAACGCACTTTGGTGATTTTGCAAATTGAATGGCCCCATATCAAATGATCCTAGAACACTTGTCACATGTAATTGAAATGAGCTAGCAACAAGCTGTGATATGAAACACTATCTCCTATCTCTCTTCAAATCAGTTGATGCCTACTCCTTATTCCACACGAAACCAGTTCAGATCCGTGTAACCTGACCAAAATATCAACGGACAGCATACACAAATGTTGGAATAACATGGACGTATATATCAGGGGGAATTCTTTTCTCTGGGGTTCTCCACACGTGTCAGGGGGGAATCTCGTCTTGTCTCTATATCTAGTCCCCTTGAGGTACGGGATCGGGAAAGTCACTTAAGCTTTACAGTCAAATAAGACACACACAACGAAATACGTTTCAACTCTCGTCTTAGTCGGTCTGTGGAGCACTCTATAAGACACAGTGCCCTGGGGAAAAATCCCCAAGACTATCACAAGGCTGACCCAAGACTAGCCCAAGACTGGACTGCCTCAAGGCTCGCCCCAAGACTCTCCAGGACTGGACTGCGTCTGTCGTGCTGTACTCGCCAAGACCAACTAAAACAACTTTATTCATTTTCAAAACATTAACCAATTACAAAGCAGTATTAAGACTCTAGGGCGTAACCTTCAATCATACAGCCAATCAAACTAAGTACTGAACACGTCATATCTTTTGATTAATCGTTCACTACATTAATAATTATGAATACTAACGTCAGAAATAGTAGTCCGAATAGCGACGGTTATCTCATAATTAGTTCCAAATCACTGAGTCGAGTTCCGTCCAAAACTTCACATGGCCTAAACGGTGCCAGACATAACACAGCCATTCAGCTAATAATCAGCTAATTAAGTCGATTAACAGATACTCAAAAACAATTTCATCATATATATGTGCTAGCAAACGATCGTAATCGAGTCTAATCAGTTGACAAAAGTTGTTTTAAAAATAAACACTGAAATTTAAGTAAATGACAGACAGAGTATGCTTGCTTGTCGAATTGCCTATGCGCATACACTATGGGTATAAATCTATGAGAAAATTTGAGTGGCACGCGCAATTTAATTTGCAATGCATGCGAAAAGGCTTTAACAAATGAAATTGAAACAAACAATGAAATTCGAAATCGAAATGATCGCCGACAATTGAGATGCACTGATAATCATATTAGGTAATTGAGCGATTTTTGCATACTACACGCACATTCAGATCATCAATATTCATGGGATCTCATTAAAACTTTATAAATGATAGACTCTAGGAAACTGAAGAGAATACTATTATTTTATTGTGTTTAGCCTTCTAGCTAGGGAAGTGACTGGAGAGGACGGTATTGTAAAAATAAGCCGACACGATTTGCATTTTGAAATACGATTCTTAACATGTAACATTGATCAATTAGGAAATGTGATGAAAGAGGATGGTATTTGATTGTAGTTAATAAGCCTTCCAGTTTTGCATTACAAAATAACCAATCTTAGGATGTAACATTGATAAAATAGGGAATGTGATGGGGGAGGATGGTATTTAATTGTAGTTAATAAGTCTTCTAGCTTTGCATTACAAAATAACCAATCTTAGGATGTAACATTGATAAAATAGGGAATGTGATGGGGGAGGATGGTATTTAATTGTAGTTAATAAGCCTTCCAGTTTTGCATTACAAAATAAAAATCATGATGTAACATTGATAAAATAGGGAATGTGATGGGAGAAGATGGTATTTGATTGTGGTTAATAAGCCTTCTAGCTTTGCATTACAAAATAACCAATTTTAGGATGTAACATTGATAAAATAGAGAATGTGATAGGAGATGATGGTATTTGATTGTAGTTAATAAGCCTTCCAGCTTTGCATTACAAAATAACCAATTTTAGGATGTAACATTGATAAAATAGAGAATGTGATAGGAGATGATGGTATTTGATTGTAGTTAATAAGCCTTCCAGCTTTGCATTACAAAATAACCAATCTTGGGATGTAACACTGATAAAATAGGGAATGTGATGGAAGAGGATGGTATTTGATTGTAGTTAATTAGCCTTCAAGCTTTGCATTACAAAATAACCAATCTTAGGATGTAACACTGATAAAATAGGGAATGTGATGGGAGAGGATGGTATTTGATTGTAGTTAATAAGCCTTTCAGCTTTGCATTACAAAATAACCAATCTTAGGATGTAACATTGATAAAATAGGGATATGTGATGGGAGAGGATGGGATTTCATTGTAGTTAATAAGCCTTCTAGCTTTGCATTACAAAATAAAAATCATGATGTAACATTGATGAATAAGGGCGGGTGATGGGAGAAGATGGTATTTGATTGTAGTTAATAAGCCAATAACCGATCTTAGGATGTAACATTGATAAAATAGGGAATGTGATGGGAGAGGGTAATATTTTATTGGAGTTAATAAGCCTTCAAGCTTTGCATTTCAAAATGAAAATCATGATGTAACATTGATGAACAAGAGAGGGTGATGGGAGAAAATGGTATTTGATTGTAGTTAATAAGTCTTCCAGCTTTGCATTACAAAATAAAAATCATAATGTAACATTGATGAACAAGGGAGGGTGATGGGAGAATGTAATGTATTCACACAAGTCCAACCAGTGAGGCAGAAATAGCTTTTATTCATTCACACGATGTTTCATACAGGCCGCCATTACAAGAATGTCGTCATATCAGAGAATAACTTACATCACGTGTTAGGGGTCATCTCATCTCATCTAAAATGACCTACAAGTAAGGGGCGTCTCACAAATATATACAACATGAGTACAAGTATACATTACACTTCCCCCTTTTTAAGCTGAGAACTTGTACAATAAAATCTCAAAGTTTAAATTCAAATGTTCTTTGCCTACTTTAACAAAATAACAATAAACGTTAAATCCTATCACC